AATCAGGTGGGATTAAATTAGCCCGTGTTTTTAAAACTGCTGTAATTATTTCAAAATATACGCAAGCGATCCAGACTTTTGAGCAGCTGGTGCTGTGCTTGGTGTCGTGTTAACCTCCACGTGGATCACCGTAGCGAATAAAGTACCACGCTATTAATTTTTCGTACCTCATCGTCCTTAATATTTCAATTTTGTTTTTATATTCTCCACGTAGACCTATTTATAAATAAGATCTACACATGGAAAATATAAAGTTAGTGGAAGGAATGTCGAAACCAGATATAGGCTCCTGTAGCGACGACGCCGGGTAACATAATCGGGGCTACAAAGGCGTCACCAGTGTTGTTGTACCTAGTACTTTTGTACTAATCTAGTACCTTTTTACTTGTTCCAGTAGCAAGATACCCAACATCATTTTCTTAGTACCATTCATGAAATACTAATCCTTTCCTTTCAATTTAGTATCTTTCAAAACATTCATTTTTATTCTATATTTCTATATTTTTTTACTTTGGCAATAAATAGATATTTTTATTGCTTCCTCATTCAAGTGCAGCAGTTGAACGTACTTTTTTGCAATTAAATTTAATAAAAACTAAACTACAAAATCGTGTTCTTACCGATTCCTGTGAAGCACTGTTATTAGCAAAGGAGCTACTTAAAAGCAACAACGATAAAATATTACACTTGGAAACTGTCATCTGCTTCAACCATACAAAAACATTCTAGTGAGGAAAATTCTGATGATGATGATGATTTTACCAGTGATTTTTCAATATGATAATTTTAAAGTTTAGTACTTCATGTTTATTACTTTTGTTTTAACATTTTGTTCATTTGATTGTTGTTGAGGAATAATAGCATTCTTACAATATATGAATTTATTAAATTAATTAGTTAAAATATCTATAACCATAAGGTAGATAATAGGAAGGGCTTATCACACCAATGACAAAGGGCACAAACGCTCAAAAATCAAAGTAAAAAAATTTAATAAAACAAATAGGGTTGTACAATAAGATGATTACATAAGTATAAAAACCGTAAAAATCCAAAATGCATTTCGGACTATTTTCCAATGGAAAAATAGTCCCTCATCAGTTGGTAATAGCGACAGGTCTTAGTATACTTAAAATTATACAAAGTGAAAAAATATTAAATTTAAAAATAAACTAAAAAATATGCCTAAAGCTATACAATATAAAGATGAAACCGTCGACATGACTGTACGAGCAGTAAGCATTATCAATGTGGACAAGAGTAATGTTTCTTCCTAACGTTGCATGGTAACATGATGAACAGGGTGCTGATACAAAAATAGTTATAAGTTAGCCGAAATATTGGTCAACAGTTATGAACTAATATTATACAGTCAGTTTAAATTATGTACATACAAAAAACAGTAGAACAACAGAGTTGCTGGTTCAGACATTTCTACAAGATGCAGGGAGCAGTTACAAAGGAGATGTGTTACCTTACACATCTGGAGCACAAGTGGTGACAACATATGATGCAGCCAGATGTCACAGTTAATTTTATCTATTTTAACTTTTAATAGATGAAGGCCCATGCTCAATTATCAATTATGCAATATGAATTTATGCAATATGAATTTATCCTGTATGAATTTTGTATGTTACATGTAACACTATATATATTTTAATAAATAGAAATTTGATAAATTATAAATTTATATATTACAGTTGTCCCTTGATAATCCGACAGGTATGGGACCAAAGGTGTGTCAGATTACCAAAAGTGTCCGGATTACCGAAAATAATTACATATTTCGCATTGTTTTGCTAGCAGTAACTTACAATATTCTCTACTCCAACTGTTCGAACAGAACTGCTCACATAAAACACACGAAATGTGTGTCATCGAATAAGAATTGGATGGGGAGATTCACATCACGACATGCTTCTGTGCAAGCAGACACGTAACGGGGACGGGTACCTTGACGGGAGTTGCGTCGGACTACTGAGCATGTCGGATTAAAAAACGTCGGACTATAGAGGGACAACTGTATTTATAAGTTTAACTTTAGGATAATATTATTTCTTCAGCGCTTTTGAAGGAAAATAACAATTTATCTGATGATGATATTTTATTTCCTGACTGTGACGACGAATCAAATTATTTGAGTATGCAATCAGATTCTGATAGTGAAGCATATGCCGAAAAGTTATCGGCATACACCGAATCATCTGTCATGTCAGATTCCGTGTTATTTACTTCGCAAGGGAACTATCAGTTGGTATAAAGAACCAATGTTCATCCTAGAAACGAAAGCATCATAACTTATTTGCCAGGTGCTAAAGGCCGTGGCTAAGGAAAACAGACTCTTTTACAAAGTTTTAAAATATTTTTTACTGACGATAAACTGAAAGCTACAGTAGACTCCCCTATAACGCGGTAGATACGTTCCTCGTTGTACGAATTTCGTGTTGTAGGAATCCTTAAATACACGAGCCAATTGCAGCCCGACACGTGTGAAGTTTAGGGACTACGGCTGTTTGAAAGGTTTTCTTCCATAAAATTAATCGATTCTAGACTAATTCGACTTAACATTTCCAAAACACGTATAATTTTTTGGGAATAATCCGTATAAACTATGCTATAAACAAAAAAATTGTAGGATTACTTACCGAGTGTGCACCGTTCGACTACGCCGTTGCTCAAAGCTTGTTTTCGTCGCGGAGCAGCGCACCAAACGGCGGCCGCGATTTCTGATGTTATTTTTCTGCGAAAAATTCGTTGAACTTTGGAGACATCATTAATAGAAATAATTTTTATGCCCGTTGAATAAGAAATGTTTCTTTGACAAGAAATGTATAAAATTACAGTGCTGTATTAGACTTACGGTACCTAATTTACATACTGTACAGATGATAGTAAACTCAATTTACCCGCCAAAATTCTCCGTAGCGTGGCGCTGGACGGCGAAAAGTAGTTCGGCTGCTCGTCCGCGATGACGAGTTGGCGATGACATTTTACCGCGTTTTACGCGTCCCTTTTAGCGTCTTTATACGAATATTGTCGCAATTTTTTCGCCGCGTTATAGGAATCTCCGTTATAGGAACCCGCATTATAGGGGTCTACTGTATTTTGAAATATATTAATAAGATGATTCGTTCATCTAAACCATTTGTTAATTCTATTGTATATTCTGGCTAATTAGAAATAAATAATGCAGAACTCCAGGCTATTTTTGGCCTTTTATTATTAGGCCCATTATTCGAAAAATCTTTCGAATTTGTGGGTTACATATGGCACTGAAATTAAAATACAATATTAGTGTGCTAAAGGATCATAAGCTGCAAGTGTTAGCAAAATAGAACCAATGAAAGTTTCTTCAGACACTGTGATAGCGATTTCTGGATTTGAAGGAGTCCATAGAGGTGCAAATATTGGTACTATTTCATTATGTACTGTATTTGAATATAAACTGCGACTTTAATTAATAAATTATGAATACTGTCCAGTACTGCGCGCTGTGATTTTGAATACGCCCAATGGTATGTGATCGCTGCTATCTGGTGGCTAAATTATTCATAATGTAGGAGATAGCTAGCACTTGCCAAATCCTCGCAAAACGTTCCCAAGTTACTACTTAATCTCGGAAGTTATGTATATATTTTATATTTTTTGTAATCTGATATTTTGCCATTATACATAAATGTAATAGACATTTTTGTTTTCTTGGAATTAGAATCTTCAGTCAAGACTACAAAATCCTTGAAGCTAATTCTAGCATTTGCTACAAAGATCGATAATGAATTAACTGCTGTATCTCTGAGAGGACTCATTGGCATGTATTATGATGGCCCGCCTAGTCCCGAGCTTCTCTAAGGCAAAATATTTCGTTGGATAAACTGGATTAGTAAAATTGGTCAAATCGGTGAAAACATTCGATCTAGATATGTTTCGAAACATGTTTGTGTTGCTAAGACTTTTTGTCACAATCCCCACAACGTCATGTGAATTAGCAATCACATGAGCACTATAATGACTGAATGTCAACTTACGCGTACAGTATTGGCCTTAATTCATTATGATTTCATGTAAACATTGACAATGCTTTACATATAGTCGCCACATTGCATCTAAGGAGTAGCAATTATATGTGTTATAGACAATTAAACAGATATAATATTCTCACCCCGTCGACCTTTAATCACCAAAATTTTTTAACACCAATCGCCCTAATACACAAACCTTACTGGAAAATTTCATAAATTTTCGACAAAAAGCACAGGAATTATTAAGTTTCAAAGAGGGTGAACAAAATCGTGTTCCCTCCATACACAAATATTTACACATAGAGAGAAAAAACCGAATTTTTTTTTGTATTTCTCGACGTTTCAAAGTCCTGTGAGTCCAAAAATGTAAAATTCTTCAGATGTCACTTTTTGACCGAATGCCATACTTTATCTCTTTTATATAATGTATAACATTGTGAAAATAAAAGAAAGAAAAGGAAAAAAACGACAGAAATTATCTTGAAAATATATTATAAACACGATATAAGTTAATTTCTATAATTCTTTATATTATATATATAATAAAATTGCACTGTTTTAAAATAAAAAATTATAAATCTGATTTAATTTGAAATTATATTTAATTAATACTACAAACAGAATTCATTTACACCGTTGTTTATTACAAGTTAAAAATGTCGAAACTGTTATCAAATTCCATTCTTATCAATGACGGAAAAATACCACATTTCTAACGTCATCACATTCTAGAATATTCGCTTTAATACGCTTTTACCGTTTATAATTTCTTATTGGTTAACGATTAACCAATTACGATTATATGCGGTTTTATTGGATGATGATTGTGCCAATAAACGATGATCATTCTTATCTAAATTGCACACGTTACAATAGTACCGAGCGCAGTTTTCGCACGACACGAAAATGACGTCAGGAGAGTGTAATAAAAAAGTCAGCGTAGCACGTCCAATCAACGATTTCGTCGATTAAGAAGGCGGAGAACTACCAAAGATGGAAAGTGGTAAGTTAATTTTAAATTTTTCAATATTTTTTAGTTTTATTATTTAGAAATTAATAAAGTAAATTAATATTAATGTAAAATTAATTAAATAAATGTTGAAATTAAAAAAAAATTATCGAAATCTTTAGACTTTTATTAGTGATAATAAACTTTAATATTTAATAATAGAAAGATTGTTAAAAGATTATATGTGTTAAAATTATTAATTTACACTACAAATTATTTATAGTTGAGAATATTATTTTATACTTATTCGTACTTTATATTATTATTATTATTATTATTATTAAGTAATTTTTTAAGGAAGAAAAGTGAAATTTATTTCGTTTCTTTCAATAAAAGTATTGTCTAGAACTATCAACTTTCAGTTTGATATATGATAAGCTTAACAATATCATTTTATCATAATAAATTATTTGTTTAATTTTATGGAGTTCTTAAGAATTTCATTTTTAACTTTTTCAACAGTTCGAAAATTTAGTTGTATTATTAATTTACATAATTATAAATTATATTTTTATTAACTTTATACAACTAATAGTTTTTCAATGTAATGATTAAAGTATAGAATATCCAAATCAATATAGGGTAATGACTTTATTAAATATAAAAGTTATAAAATAATTTCTATATTATTTTTTAATCAACGATATTAATTATATATAATTCATTATTTGTATTCATACTACAGGTAGACTGTATTTAAAGTTTATTTGTTTCTTTATGTACTAGTCAAAACAATTAATTAATGGAGAATATGGTTGCTGTCATTGAGCAATTCTTTGTCACTCCTCAAACCATTTAAGTGATCTCATTGATTCGATGCCACACAGATGTGCAGCAAGTTTAGTCATTCGTGGAGACAATACACCCTTCCTTACTAAAATTAGCACGATATTCTAAAAAATCATTCGTTTCTAATTGTCAGATACACATTTTGTTGACCAGCATATTACAACACGGAAAATACGACAACAATTCGGCTCAAATGCGTATTTATTCACGTATTTCTATATATTTTACTACGTAACAATAGCATCTGAGATTTAGAATCGTTTGTCATAATATTCTATGCAACGTATCTTGTTTCTTTAATTGTTTTGACCAGTGTAGATTTGTTCAATCGATTTTCTTAAGGAGTAAAAAATAATTATTAATTATTAGGAATAATAATTTACAATAGCTTAAGAGGAAAAAATATTAGAGTACAGTATTTGTTACTAAGCGTATAAATTTTATTTTTCTTAGAAAAGTATGCTACATCTTTTATTTATAGCAGCCATATTTCCTTTCACTTCTAAGCTCTATTAGCTTATCGAAATAAAAATAACATGATAAAATACTTATTCACTTTTTGTTTTTATCATATTTGGTCAAATAATTCAAATAACCACTTAATCTTTCATATTAACATTTACATTCATTATAAATATTAATAAAACGAAAAATTATAAACATTTTAAAATACAAATCATGTGTTACATTCCATCAGTTTATGTGTTATATATATAACTAAGTAAATACGAGTATATTTATTTGTAATATTTTTTAAATATTGAAAATAATTTATTTCAGATTTAAGAAGCAAATCATGCTCATGTGAAGTTTGCACTTGCTGCAACGCATCAAAATGTGGAGGGCCCGATTGTACCTGCAAAGATTGCAAGTGCTGTGGAGCGTCTAAATGCGGAGGATCAGCTTGTACTTGCGAAGACTGCACTTGTTGCAAGGCGTCGAAATGTGGAGGGCCCGATTGTACCTGCAAAGATTGCAAGTGCTGTGGAGCGTCTAAATGCGGAGGATCAGCTTGTACTTGCGAAGACTGCACTTGTTGCAAGGCGTCGAAATGTGGAGGGCCCGATTGTACCTGCAAAGATTGCAAGTGCTGTGGAGCGTCTAAATGCGGAGGATCAGCTTGTACTTGCGAAGACTGCACTTGTTGCAAGGCGTCGAAATGTGGAGGGCCCGATTGTACCTGCAAAGATTGCAAGTGCTGTGGAGCGTCTAAATGCGGAGGATCAGCTTGTACTTGCGAAGACTGCACTTGTTGCAAGGCGTCGAAATGTGGAGGGCCCGATTGTACCTGCAAAGATTGCAAGTGCTGTGGAGCGTCTAAATGCGGAGGATCAGCTTGTACTTGCGAAGACTGCACTTGTTGCAAGGCGTCGAAATGTGGAGGGCCCGATTGTACCTGCAAAGATTGCAAGTGCTGTGGAGCGTCTAAATGCGGAGGATCAGCTTGTACTTGCGAAGACTGCACTTGTTGCAAGGCGTCGAAATGTGGAGGGCCCGATTGTACCTGCAAAGATTGCAAGTGCTGTGGAGCGTCTAAATGCGGAGGATCAGCTTGTACTTGCGAAGACTGCACTTGTTGCAAGGCGTCGAAATGTGGAGGGCCCGATTGTACCTGCAAAGATTGCAAGTGCTGTGGAGCGTCTAAATGCGGAGGATCAGCTTGTACTTGCGAAGACTGCACTTGTTGCAAGGCGTCGAAATGTGGAGGGCCCGATTGTACCTGCAAAGATTGCAAGTGCTGTGGAGCGTCTAAATGCGGAGGATCAGCTTGTACTTGCGAAGACTGCACTTGTTGCAAGGCGTCGAAATGTGGAGGGCCCGATTGTACCTGCAAAGATTGCAAGTGCTGTGGAGCGTCTAAATGCGGAGGATCAGCTTGTACTTGCGAAGACTGCACTTGTTGCAAGGCGTCGAAATGTGGAGGGCCCGATTGTACCTGCAAAGATTGCAAGTGCTGTGGAGCGTCTAAATGCGGAGGATCAGCTTGTACTTGCGAAGACTGCACTTGTTGCAAGGCGTCGAAATGTGGAGGGCCCGATTGTACCTGCAAAGATTGCAAGTGCTGTGGAGCGTCTAAATGCGGAGGATCAGCTTGTACTTGCGAAGACTGCACTTGTTGCAAGGCGTCGAAATGTGGAGGGCCCGATTGTACCTGCAAAGATTGCAAGTGCTGTGGAGCGTCTAAATGCGGAGGATCAGCTTGTACTTGCGAAGACTGCACTTGTTGCAAGGCGTCGAAATGTGGAGGGCCCGATTGTACCTGCAAAGATTGCAAGTGCTGTGGAGCGTCTAAATGCGGAGGATCAGCTTGTACTTGCGAAGACTGCACTTGTTGCAAGGCGTCGAAATGTGGAGGGCCCGATTGTACCTGCAAAGATTGCAAGTGCTGTGGAGCGTCTAAATGCGGAGGATCAGCTTGTACTTGCGAAGACTGCACTTGTTGCAAGGCGTCGAAATGTGGAGGTTCAACTTGTACTTGTGATCACTGCAAATGTTGTATAAAATCCACCTGTCGTGCATCCAGCTGCTCTTGCGTCCAATGCCAATGTTGCAGTGTATCGAAATGTTGCAAATAGCGAACCTGACTAAAAGAATTTAATAATAGAAAGCATTACGTTGGCATATTATCATGTTCTACTACAAAAAAAAGTATTATAAGAAAAATGATTTCTATTGCATATGTCTTATCCTATTTTTACGACAATTTGTTTTATTTTTTTTAAATATGTTTAATTAATTTTTATATAATAATTTAAAAAGTTTGCGTAATTACGAAAAATTTAATTACATTATTATTGTATTTTCTGAAATTCTGGGTTTTTTACGTAAATAAAATGAATATATATTCATTGAATGATATAGTTATTTGATATTATTAATTACCAAAAACTGTGAGCTATGATATTATTATTATAAATTTCAACTTAATGCTGTATTTATATAACGTAATAAGCTAGGAATCTTATTATGAAATATACTTTTTGTTAGGAAAATCTGATAAAATTTTAGCTTATATATCGAAAGAAAGAATAAATTCATAATTTATTTTGACGCGAAACGTAATCAAAAGAGAAAATCTTTTCCATTTTCATAAATTTAAAATAAAATATTCATTATATAAATTAATACTTTGATATAACGCTTTCCAGTCAAATAATTTGTAGAAAAATCTTTGTTTTAGCCTTTAATCATTAGCCTAATAATTGATATATTTTATATATTTAAGAGCGATTTTTGGCTAAATCTGTTTACATAACCAAAACAGAAATTTAATTTAATGGGAATGAAAAAAATGGAGATTATTTAGAAGTAACCAATTAAAAATAAAGACATTATACACAAGCAAATAGACATACAAGAGTGAAAAAACAGAGAAACTGTAAATACCTTTGGACATTTATAATCAATAAGTTATACAAGTCAAATAAAAAAAGATATATTTAAAAAAATTATCAATTAACGTTACAAATGTATTAAAATTTTAAATAGGCCTATTTGAATTTAAATGTAATAATATTCATTTCCACATCATCCTGTTAGTCATCAATTAATCAATTACTTGTTAGAAACTATGATTAACATAAAGATAAAATAAATGTCAACATTTTTTTTAAATTCCGTTTATGGATTGAGATTTTCGAGGTCAAAAGTTCGCCATATAAAGTCTATGGGCCGATTGTCGATTATACGTTTAAACTAACTACTCGCAGGTTTTTGATAATACAGTCTGTTCCTAAACCTCTTACCTTTGAAGTGAAATCGGTTATGGCGAAGACTTAGCGCGAAGTTATTCTGTTGTTTTTGCTTGATTATTACGTTATCGAGCGCCGAAACCCCTGTTGGACTTATGAATAATCGTGTATATATGACTAAAAGTAAAATACCACATAATGTGTCTTTTACGACTCCACATCATCGCATTCACTGTCAATATCTAATAATACCGTTTGAGTTTTTGCCATCCTACATTTATTCTATTTGTCAACCTCTAACCCATTTTTTGCAGTAAATATGAAGCTGAATAGTTGAAATTTCTGTTTTAAACTCATCTAATTCTTCCTCTTTTCTCTCTCTAACAGCCCAAATCTGAATTCCATAAACTAAATCTTCTATCGACTTTCAACCCCTCTCTGTAAATCAGTTCCGAACTTTTTCTGGCTCAACTTTACTTTCTATCTCATTAACACAATATCAATTGCGAATAACATATACCATAGCTCTTTTCTCATAGCATCATGCAATGATTCGCCTAATATTAATTTAAAAAAAAAAAGAAGATATGGGCTTAAACTCGATAAACTTTAAGGTCCATTGTAAACCCCCAAAAAATTAATTTTCAATACTTTCCTTGATATTCGAGTAAATTTTTTACGAAATTTCACGAAATTTATGAGACAGAAGACATAAATAACGTGAAGTCATCGACGACAACAATTAGATTCCAACTTTATCGGCGATTGTTACCGAATAGACAATACAAACTCCATTGTTGCTGGGCGGAATCCAGACGCCATTTTGGTATCGTCGGCAGTTTCTAAGAAAAATACCGAAATTTTTTCTAGTTTTAGAAGAAATAACGGAAGAAAAAGCTGAGAAATTGCAGAATAATAGAGGGAAAAGGGAAAGACAGAAACACAGTATTTTACTAAAGGAAATAAAACTGAAATGAAATATTTGGAAGTCGACATTAGCCAATTAACAACAAATTACTATGGAAGGAAATCATTTCAAACGAATTCGTATTGCGTGTAAGTCACTTTATTTAATACTAGCAGATGAGCCCGGCATTGCTCGGACAAAAAGTAACGATAGCAAAGATTAAATATTAGATTATAGCCGATCTTACCCGTTTTCACTGAGTGCAAGAATTAGGTCCCTTCCTCTTCCGAGACTAATTAGAAAATTTTTAGATATCTGCTTACCACACAGGGATAACGATTAAGACGAAGAGTTCGAATAAAGCGAACTTATAAGCACGCGATCCCCGTGTCAACTTAATACACAATGGAACACTAAATATCGTTGAGCATTTTTAGAAGGGTCTAAAAATATGTTCGATTTCCCGCATAAATGCAAAAAAGACATAAAAAATAGTACAGTAGAAGCCGAGTTTTTCGGCTTCCTTAACTTCCTCTCTCTACCTCACAGTGGCAATTTCGAAAAATATCTTCATAGTGTGCATTCTCATGGCATACCCTATTAAAACGCAAAAAAACCGCATCTAAAATAGTATAATAGAAGCTGAATTACTTTGCGGGAAGCGTTAATTCTGTTGCTCTCTTTCACGGGGGGGGGGAATTTCGAAAAATCCCTTAGTGTATGTTCTCATGACGTACTGTACCTTAACTGTTCAATTCTTAACTGGAGCAGCGCACCAAACGGCGGCCGCGATTTCTGATAAGTTATTTTTCTGCGAAAAATTCGTTGAACTTTAGAGACATCATTAATATAAATAATTTTAATGGCCGTTGAATAAGAAATGTTTCTTTGACAAGAAATGAATAAAATTACAGTACTGTATTAGACTTACGGTACTTAATTTACATACTTTACAGACGATAGTAAACTCAACTTCCTAAACTCTCTGTAGCCTGGCGCTAGATGGCGGAAAGTAGTTCGGCTGCTCGTCCACTATTGGTCTAGATTCGACCAATCCTGTCGCGACACGAGTCGGCGACGACGTTTTACGAATCCCTTTTAGCGTCTTTATACAAATACTGTCGCAATTTTTTCGCCACGTTATAGGAATCTTTGTTATAGGAACCCACGTTATAGGGGGTCTACTGTATAGCATAAAAGAATACTTTATGGATAGTTTTCTCTTACAGTAGATTTAAACCTCGCCATAACACTTCGACTTATTTCCCACTACCATTACCATCAGTCATGTTTGTTTAGTTAAGTTACGGCAATACAACACTTGGGCGATCTGCCTAGTGGGAATGCCTTCAAGGAGGTCTTTTTAAGGGTAACTGGACCCTATTCGGGCGTTACAGAAGTGGAGAAAACCCGGAAAACTGCACGTGGCTAGCCCGTCCTGGCCAGGAGCGAACCCACGATCGAATTCCCAGTATTTGGGGAACAGAACCGCTTGGCCACTGGTGGACTCGTCAGTTATAAATAAAGCTGTTGTGGTCTTACCACAACTTGATCACAATCTTTGATTTCCTTAAATGTCATAATAAATAGGATCCACCAGTGGCCAAGCGGTTTCATTCCTGAACACTGGGAGTTTGGTCATGGGTTTGCAGCCTGGCCACGTGCAGTTTTCCGGGTTTTCTCCACTTGTGTAACGCCCGAATACCCTTAATTAAAAAGACCTCCCGGAAAGCATTCCTCCAGGCAGATCGCCCGAGTGTTCCGTTGCCATAATTTAATAAAATAAAACAAACATAATAAACAGGTTGAATACATTCTGTGTAAGTTGAAGTTATTACCTACTTCTTTCTAATGTCGTTTTTATGTACATTAAAACCTCCTTAAGAGAAACTGCGTTAAATCGAAGCTGTCTACAGCTTTCTGTCACACAATATGAGGTTTTTTCTTATAATACGGTCTCTTTAAGTGGAAATTGTCGTTACTTTTAAATCGAACCTATTTCTCCGCTCGCCCTTTACTCTTTGATAGCTTTATGATCTTCACTTTCTCCTGTATTCCGTGTGAATGCAGACGATTAAGATAAATAAACACTACAGCACTACGACGACAATCTTTTTCTGATACGACATGATACCGGCAGAGCCAAAAGGAACGCATTTTTAACACACTCTGTACAGGCGATATATACTGAAATTTTGAAATGGCATGATCGTAGAAGGTAAGGTTCTCTCATACAAAAGAAATGATTGTCTATTTCCTGTCTATTTTAAACATGTTTGTTTCTAATTATACTTTCCCCCCTGCATTTTCGTCCTGAATTGAATATATTCTCCACGTTCCCAAAATAATTTTCTCCCAAATTACAGATAAAAGTTCAACTCGCAGCTCAACACTAAATTTTGATAGTATAAAGTCGAGGAAACATCTGAAGTAGTAGGCTAAAGTCAGCCACTAGAAACAATTGACAAACTGCGTTTAGATATGTCGAAAATCTTTTATTTACTTACGTAATACAGTTGTGTATTGTATTTGCAATTGTATAATATTAATGAAATACCGTACAGTGTAAAAACCTATAAATTTTGAAACCCATTTATCTCAAATTCGCTTTTCTTTCTCGTGAAATTCCATATAGATAGGTTCAACTGTATGTAGTTTTTCAAATTCGAATATTAGCCGAATTTCTATAGACAAACAACAAATTACATATTTTAAATTATAAAAACTATGCATACAAAAACGATTTTTAAATCTGCTTCTACAGAAGTGAATATAGAACATCATATCTGTACAATTAACTATACAGTAATCCTGCGTAGGTCCAAAAAAGAAGATACTAATGCGGGTCGAAGACGGCCGACTTCTCCGTCAAAATAAAGCCCGCGTAGGTCCAAGAAAGAACATACTAATGCGGGTCGAAGACGGCCGACTTCTTCGTCAAAATAAAGCCCGCGTAGGTTCAAGAAAGAAGATACTAATGCGGGTCGAAGACGGCCGACAACGAATTCGTATTGCG